GTGTCATCCCATGTGGAAGGGCAAAGAGAGGGCAAGAGGAAGAGGGAAGGGGGGCAAACTCATTCTTTTATAAAGAACCCATTCCTAGAGTAATGGCATTAATCTATTCATGAGATCTCTGTTCTCATGACTTAATCCCCTCTTAAAGGTCTCACCACTCCACACTGTTGCAATGGGGATTAAGTTTCCAATGCATGAACTTTGGGGGACACATCTAAACTTTAGCATTCTTCCCCTGGTCCCCCAAATTTATGTCCTTCTCACATGCAAAATATATTCACTCCATTCCAGCCCCAAAAGTCTTAACTCATTCCAGCATCAACTCAAAAGTCCAAAGTCTCATCTAAATCAGATGTGGGTAAGACTCAAGAGGTTGCATCCTGAGGCAAATATTCCTCCAGCCGTGAGCCTATAAAATCAAACAAGTTACTTGTTTCCAAAATACAATGATGAGATGGGCATAGGATAGATATTCTTGTTGCAAAAGAGATAAATAGACAAGAAGAATGGAGTAACAGACTCCAAATAAATCCAAAAGCGGACAGGGAAGACATTAAAATCTAAAGGCTCCAGAACAATCTTTTATTCCATATGCCAACTTCTAGACACACTGGGGTGGGGGTTGAGCACCCAGTGTCCCAGACAGCCCTTCCAGTATGGTTTTTCTGAGGTCAGTCCACACAGCAGCTCTCCTAAGCCGATATTCCATGCTGGTAGGTATGCTGTTCCAAGGTCTTGAAGGTGGCCCTGCTCCCATGGCTCCATTAGGCATTGCCCTAGTAAGAACTCTCTGTGCCAGCTCCACCCCTGTGGCAGGTTTCTACTTGAACACCCAGGCTGTCCAATACAGTCTTTAAAATCTAGGTGGAGACCGCCATGCCTCCACAGCTCTTGCATTCTGCTTGCCTGCAGAATTAGCACCATATAGATGATGTCAGGCTTCACTGCTTTTACTTTCTAGAGTGGTGGCCCAAGATGCACCTGGGTCAGCTTGAACTATGGCTGCAGTGGCCAAGGAACGCTGTTCTGGAATACATAGAATAGAGCCCTAAGGCTTCCCTGGTCAGTGAGCCCATGGAGGGAACCATAGGGCCTGTCCCCCAAAACCATTCTGTCTTCTGAGAGCTCTAGGCCTATGATGGGAAGTGGTAGCCCTGAAGGTATCTGAAATGCATTTAAAAGTCATTCTCCCACTGTCTCAATGAATTGTACCTGGCCCTTTCTTTTTGTACTAAGCTTTCTAGCTAATAGTCACTTGGCCACAAGCTTGGTTTGCTTTCCTAAAGATGCCTTTTTGTATGTTGTGTGGCCAGGCTGTGAATGTTACAAATTTATCAGCTCTGCTCCCATTTTAACTATAAATTTTTTATTTAAATCATTTGTTTATTGTCTCATGTTACTGTAAGTAGCCAAAATAAGCCATGCAGCACTCTGAATGCTTTGCTGCTTAGATATTTCTTTTTCTAGATATCCTATTTCATTGTTTTTAAATTCTGCCTTCCACAAAGTCCCAGCACATGGATACAATTTGCCAATTATTTACAACTGCATAGTAAAGATGGTTTTTACTAGTTTCCAATATCTTGTTCCTCAGTTCTATCTCAGATTCACTCATCAGAATAGCCCTTACTGTCAATATTTGTACCAACATTTTGACCATGACCACTTAAGTAAGCTCTAAGAAGTTCCAGAGTCTCCCTACAGTTCCTCTGTTTTTCTGAGCACTCACCAAAATCACCCTTTGTGCTCCATTCGTGGCAACCTAGGCTTTTACTAGCTTACTCCTTCAAATTCTTCCAACCTCTACCCATTACCCAGTTCCAAAGCCACTTCCACATTTTCAGGTATTTGTAATAGCAACAGCCCCACTTTTTGGCTCCAATTTTTTGTCTTAGTTTGTTTTATGCTGCTATAACAGAATACCACTGACAAGGTAATTCATAATAAACAAATGTATTTCACACAGTACTCAAGGCTGGGAAATCCAAGATGAAAAAGCTGGTATCTGGCAAGGGCCTTCTTGCTGAGTCATTTCATGGCAGAAAGGAAGAGAGAGAGAGAAAGAGAAGGAGGCCAAATTCATTCTTTTATAAAGAAGCCACTCCCTCAATCACTATCCCACTCCCATGATAACGACATTAGTTTCTTCATGAAGGCAGAGCCCCTGTGATCTAATCACTTGTTAAAGGTCTTACCTCTCAACATTGTCACATTGGGGATTAAGTTTTCAAACATAAACTTTAGGTGACACATTCAAACCATAACACTATGGTCTAGATGTTTTTCTTCCCTCTGAAATTCATGTTGAATCATAATCCCTAAAGTAACAGTGTTGGGAGGTGAGGCCTAATGGAAGGTGTTTAGGTCATGAGGGCTTCAGAACTATGAGAAATATATATTTTTTTCTTTATAAACTACTCAGTCTCAGTATTCTGTTATAGCAGCACAAAATGGACTAAGCCAGAAATCTGTTCAAGGGGAGTGAGCAGGGTTGTATCTTGGACACCTTCTAGACTTCCTTAACAGGATTTATTGAGAAAATTGAGTTCTAAAGCCCAGAAGTATCCTCTATTTTTAAATTTAATTTAATTTTGTTTTTTTTTTTCTGAGATGGAGTCTTGCTCTGTTGCTGAGGCTGGAGTACAGCAGCACTATCTCTGCTTATTGCAACCTCTGCCTCCTGGGTTCAGGCGATTCTCCTGCCTCAGCCTCCCAAGTAGCTGGGACTACAAGCGTGCACCACCATGCCCAGCTAATTTTTGTATTTTTAGTAGAGACAGGATTTTGCCATGTTAACCAGGCTGATCTTGAACTCCTGACCTCAGGTGATCCGCCCACCTTGGCCTCCCAAAGTGCTGGGATCACAAGCGTGAGCCAGGCCCAAAGGTATCCTTTATATGTAATGAGTTAACTTCTCTCTTATGTATCTGGAAGGGAGTTAGTTATATACTAATATAACTGGTTATGTACTACATAATATAATTAACATATAAAACGAGTTATATTAGTATATAACTAACAGAGAAATTAAGAAAATAGTCACCCGAATAATTTTTGGCATTCTGTGGTTTAGATGAGAAACCTAAGTTAAAAAGATCTGCGAGACACTGTCCCAACAGTGAAAGAGAACCTGCACTGGTCCTTCTGAGCCTCCATGCCTGGGATCAGCCTCAGGGCATCTTCATCTCTATGAAAAGTAGGTGGCCATGTGACCATGTGTGAGAGACCCAGACTCTGGGCTCACGTGGTGTGTCCTTGAGCTCATGCCTGGGCATTTCTCCTTGGCCTGGGCCACACTGTGTCCCTCACTCCAAATCCTCACTCTGATTTGGAGCTAAGTGAAGACAATTCAGTTCTCTTGTATAAAAGAGGATGCTGTAGGACACAGTAAAAAACTGTCATTGGAATAACGTCTAAATTAGAGCAAGAACACAAAGATTTAGACACTATCCTCTCAAGGAATTGTTTTTATTTAAATAGTAGACACCAGCAATGAGTGCTAATTGTTTCACATATAATGGTTCTTTCTAACAACCACTAGCATCAGAATCACCGGAGAGCCTTATTAAATATGTAGACACCTGGCTTCTACTGCATCAGAATCTCTATAGCTGGGCTTGGAAATCTAATTAAAGTTAAGGAATTATTAATTTAATTAGATTTGTTGGGCATGTGGCCAAAGCCCTTATCCAATCCATGCTACATCTTAATTATGAGAATCCAGAGTGGTTTCCCTTGGTATTCAGAAGACCTCTGCCATTTGTGGATTCAAAAATCGTAATTTAAATTGTGGAAGAGAAAACACAAGTATCCATGACATGCAGCCATTAGGAGTTTCCCTCAGGCACAATGTACAAATCAAGCGGGATGGGGTCAGCCAGTGCCCAACAATCCTAGCCTCACAACATAACTTTGTCATTCTCTTTGTGGGCATTTATTTTATTTTACTTTTTTCATTGTTTTTTTTAAAACTGTACACAAACATTTCCTACATAATCCAACATACAACAGAAAAATGGTACATCTTTTACTTTCAATTTGCGTACAATGGAAAAACAAGTATATATATATATTTTACAAAGTTTAACTAATAAGACACTAAAGTTGGCAGTTTAAGTCTATAGGTGAGAAATTATCTAATAAAAATAATCAATTTTTTCAGCATTAGTCACTTCCATAACCAAGTGTTATTCTGATTAATAAAACTTGCTGCCAATCAGAATTCTGATTGGTAAAATATATTATGATATACTCATACCATTACTCAACTTGTAGTACTGCTCTCCACCTTAGTTCTTCACAACTACTAACATAGAAAATTGTTGAAAAGTAGGGGCAAGCATTTGCAAAAACAAAAAATCCCCAGCTTATTATAAGCATGAATATGTATGATGGAATTTCTTCCCAGCAATAGACTTCCAGACTATCAAGAAATCACCAGAACTAAGTTTGCCAAGTTATTTTCCCTATGTCCAACAACAGATGCACTTATACGTCCAACAGAGGAGCTGAAAATCGAACTTAGTTTGGGGGTGAGTTGGGAAATTCAGCCACCATTTCAAAATAACTGTCTTAAAAAAAAATGACCACCAAAAATAGGTTCACTAAATTTATTTTTAAAATCATAAAACTTTTCTTACAAAAGAGCATTACATTCTGCACACTGCTCTGAACAGATGCCAGGGGCATGTGGACTATTGTTACTTTTCCTCCCTTTCCCACTCCCTAAATGTTACAGTGACCACAAAGCAAGGTGTTCACAATTACATGGGGGGAAGTTTTTAAACCACCAACAATAACAAAAAATAAAATCCACTCACTCTGCTGCTGTTTCAAAATTTCAATGTTAGTTTTTCACACCCTTTCCCCCACAACCCTGTTCGTAAGGAGCTAAAACATTACATCTGGTGAACAGCAAAGATTTCACTACACCTCAAATGCAAAACACCTATGAGGCAGAGGAATGTTGGCTTTTTAAACAGAAGCAGATTAAAAAAAAAAAAAAAAAAAAAAAAAAAAAAAAAAAGATGCAGGACTCCTTCAGTTCTTCACTAGTCTTAGAAAAACTTTCCAGAATACTGCTTCATACTATAAAAAAGAAAAAAATATCTTGCCTTAGAATCCTTCAACATCTGCATACTGCTTCACACTGTTCTGCAGCAAATACTGTGCATTCTGTATCTGGTCCTGTGTTCCTGTAATGGTAATGATCCGATCTTTGGAACTTTCTAAAGGCTCATCAATTTTGATTGAAGCTCTCGCCTTAAGACGGATTTGTTTAATCCGCTGACCACCTTTGCCAATAATAGATCCAGCCAAATCTTTGGGAATAGTTACTTGTGTAGTAATAATAGGTTCACCAAGATCACCATATGAGCCACGACCCCCTGCATAGGAATACTCATATCCGGAGCCACCCTGTGGTTCATAAGCCACCTGCCATTCCGATGGTCTCCATGTATCTATTGCAGAGTCCCAAGTTTCATCAGCACTGAAAACCAACCATGCCGAGGTAACGGTCTCCAGGTCTCCCTCTTCTGTCATAGGCCATGAGGTCTCCCCCTCTAGGTGGTGGTGGTGGAGGAAGAAGAAAATTCCGAGCTCTGCTACCACCCCGGCCGGCTCGTCCAGGAGGAGGGGGAGGTGGTCCTCGATAAGGGCTTATATCATCATTATCTCTTCTAGATGGAGGCATGAGACGCCCACCCCGACCAGGAAGCATTCTGTCAAAACCCCCTCTTCCCCGCATGGGAAATCCCAATGGGCGTCCACGGCAGTCATCAAACATCATTGCAAATCACCATAATCATAGGTTTCATCGTAAAAACTGGGATCATAAGGCTGTGCACGTCCTTTGATGGGAGACTCAGATATAAGATCAAGGATGATCTTTATGCACTCTACAACCCTATAGGATTTTCCTCCAATAAGAACAACTCTGTCAGTGGAATAACGACAGCATTCCTGGAAAAGCTTGATGGTGGTTTGAGTGTTTTCTCGAAGTTCTTTGATTTTAGCACCTTTGACCCCAGTAATTCCTCCTGCTAGACTCTGATAAATCAACAGCCTCAACTCGCAAAGTCACTTCCTTTATAGTGTTGGTAATTTAAGCATTCCACAGCATCAGATTCGAGCAGGAGCTGGCTGGTTGCGGTCGATGATGGCAACTGCAGGCCTTCTTGCAAGGTAAGGATGATTTTCTTCAGAATTTCTCCAATTGTTTCAATATCAGCGCTGATACTCAATATGCGCTTGGGGCCACTGCTGTCTGGGACTGAAACACTGGCACTGTAGTCTGTACGGAGAGCCTTAATATTCTTGCCTCCTTTTCCAATCACTGCCCCAGCATTCTTGCTCTGAAGCAGAACGCGTAATTCAACCATCTCATCAATGTTTCTAGATCTTTTAGATGCTTGTTCCTCTTCCATATCTTCTACAGGGCGTTTACCAAATTCACCATTGGTTTCAGTGTTAGGGAAGGTTTCTTCTGGCTGTTCAGTTTCCATATTCTTTTATTAAATGGGCACACCAATCAGTTATTATAGATCCTTGCAGAGCAGAACTGAAGCGTTCTGGAGCGCACCAACAACTCACAGCCCAGTGCTGCAGTCGCCCGGATCCGACAGGAAATGGCGGCCCGCGTAACGGAGGCTACGTGCTACTAGGCGGAGCCGAGCGCAGACCCCTCCTCCACCCACCGCGTGGTACCGAGGTCTCATCCCCCGCATCCTCCCCCCACCGTCGGAGACAAAGCCAGTGAGGCAGCCCTGACTATTCCATCCCTGCCCCTCCAGCTACGACCTCGGGCCGGGAGACCCAAGGTGAGGCGGGGCTCACCGTGGGCGTTTATTTTATAAGAGGAATTATTTGCTAAAATTGAATTTATGATTTTAAGGATTCACAAAGGTCTCAGGACAAGCAGGAGTCTCTTGTGGTCTGATATGAAGTCTTCCCTTCAATTCTCCAGAAATTTCTCCCTTCCTCCCTTCCTCTTTTCCCCTTCCCCTCCCCTCCCTCCTCCTCCCCTCCCCTCCCCCCGCGTCCCCTCTCCTCCCCCTGCTCCTCTTCCCTCCCCTCCCCTCCCCTCCCCTCCCCTCCCCTCCCTTCTCCTCCCCTCTCTTCCCGTCACCTCCCCGCTCCTCCTCTCTCCTCCCCCACCTCCCCTCTTCTCCCCCCCCACCCCGCTCCCCTCCCCTCCCTTTCTCTTCCCTCTTTTCTTCTTTTTTTGAGACAGCCTGTCACCCAGGCTGGAGTGCAGTGGCGTGATCTTGGCTCATTGCGCCTCCACCTCCCAGGTTCAAGTGATTCTCCTGCCTCAGCCTCCTCAGTAGCTGGGATTACAGGCAGGCACCACTACACTCCGCTAATTTTTGTATTTTTAGTAGAGACAGGGTTTTACCATGTTAACCAGGCTGGTCTTGAACTCCCGACCTCAAGAGATCTGCCCACCTTGGCCTCGCAAGGTGCTGGGATTACAGGCGTGAGCCACCATGCCCAGCTGCAATTCTCCAGACATTTCATAAAATTCCCACTTCTACTAATATTGATAGTCTAAAAAAATTAAATCTGGGTTATCTTTTGCCTCTACAGCACTTGGCTCAGGTGACAGTTCCTATTTTCAAACATCCTCTTTTCTTAACCTTTTTGATGCCAACTCTTGTTTTCTTTCACATATTTCCATTGATCTTTTATTGCTTTCTGCCTTCTGCAGATGGGAGACCTCATTTCCACCCTCATCATTCTGTCCTCCATTTTCCTCAGAGATTTCATCTATTTTAATGACCTCAACTATTCCCTGTGTATATATTATTTCTAAATCTGTATTAAGAGTCTTGATATCATTCCCACTCTAGCATTAGTTTCTATCTGTGAAACATTTCCATGCATGTTTCATCATCACCTAATTAATTTATTCATTAAAAAATATTTTAAAAACACATTGGCTTCTTAGCATGTGACCAGGGTACCTAGGTGAATAGAACATGGTACTCACTAGCTCAGAGTCCCACCTCATAACTTTTATATTCCATCAAAAGTCTCACATTCTTTCACTTACATGCTGCAAGATCTTAGAGTTTTATTTGACTTTTCCTATTTCCTTCTACCCCAGTTCTAATCAGTCATAAACTTCTGCCAATTCTCTATTTGGATTCTCAAATACTCATTGCTACCATATTAGGTACATGTCATCTCATGCCTAGACTCCTGCAAGTCAGCTAGCTGCCTAAAATGAGAAAAATCTTTTATTCCAGGGCCATTTTATTTCATCCTCCATTAGTTAGATAGATCTTCCTAAATCACAGGCTTCAGTGTATAATTCTTCTCTATGACCTTTCACAGCTTTAAAAGAAATAGGCCAAATCCATGAATCTGTAACTCAATCCCTTTCCTTATTTGACCCACTCATTCTTCCTTTTCACTGTCAAGTACCACTATTCACCTCTTTTGATTCCTTCCCAGCTTCCAAATGCTTCTTCCTCAGCCTTCCTCATGTTTGTAAATGTTAGCTCCTTTCATCCAGTTGCTCAAGCCAAACACTTTAGAGCTGGCCTTGACATCTTGCATTTTCATGTCTAAACTGTCAGTCCTGTTGGATTGCCTTCAAAACATGCCCAGTCTGATCACTTCTCATTCCCCACTGCTACCATACAAGGCTAAGCCACAAATGGTCTCATCTGGACTATCATTAGAGTATCCTAAGTTGGGCATGTTGGTGTGTGCCTGCAGTCCCAGCTACTTGGGAGGATGAGGCTGGAGGATCGCTTGAGCCCAGGAGTTCAAGGCTGCAGTGAGCTGTTACTGTACTCCAGCCTGGGCAACAGAGTGAGACCCTGCCTTCCCTACTCACAATCCACTCAATATACACCAGTCACACAATATACACCAGTCAGGGGGATCCCCCACAAGTTTATTTTTTTTTTTTTTTTTTGAGACGGGGTCTTGCTCTGTTGCCCAGGCTGGAGAACAGTGGTGCAATCTCGGCTCACTGCAACTTCTGCCTCCCGGGTTCAAGTGATTCTCCTGCTTCAGCCTCCTAAGTAGCTGGGACTACAGGCATGCGCTACCACGCCCAGCTAATTTTTGTATTTTTAGTAGAGACGGGCTCACCATGTTGGCCAGGCTGGTCTCAAACTCCTCACCTCAAGTGATCAACCTACCTCGACCTTCCTTTTTTTTTTTTTTTGACAGAGTCTTGCTCTGTCACCCAGGCTGGAGTGCAGTGGCATGGTCTGGGCTCACTGCAAACTCTGCCTCTTGGGTTCAAGAGATTCTTGTGCCTCAGCCTCCGAATAGCTGGGATTAGAGGTGAACACCACCATGCCTAGCTAATTTTTTTTTTTTTTTTTTTTTTTGAGATAGTTTCCTTCCGTCTGTCACCCAGACTGGAGTGCAGTGGAGTGATCCTTGGCTTGCTGTAACACCTTCCTTCCGGGTTGAAGCGATTCTCCTGCCTCAGCCTCCTGAGTAGCTGGGATTATAGGCAGGCACCACCACACCGGGCTAATTTTGTATTTTTAGTAGAAAAGGGGTTTCACCTTGTTGGCCAGGGTGGTCTCAAACTCCTCACCTCAAGTGATCCACCTGCCTCGACCTCTCAAAGCGCTGGGATTACAGGCATGAGCTACAGTGCCTGGCCTAATTTTTGTGTTTTTAGTAGAGACGGGTTTCACCATGTTGGTCAGGTTGGTCTCAAACTCCTGACCTCAGGTGATCCACCTGCCTTGGGCTCCCATAGTGCTGGAATTACAGGCGTGAGCCACCAAGCCAAGCCGGGATCCTTAAGTAAAGAAAAAAAATGAATTATTTCACTCTTTAAAACTTTCCAGGGGAGTTGGCATTTTCCCTGGCTTTAAAGTCTTCCTTATACCATCACAGTAACTAGAGGTTTCCTTCTTTCATTTTTGGCTTGTTGTTTTAACCTGTTATGCTGATATCTGGCAGTTCAGCTCTCTCTCAGCTCAGCTGAGCTCCTGACAAATCTGAGGTCTAATTTACTTTAAGCCAAAAGATAGTTAAAAATTAATTTAATCATAGTTTTATTCCAATAAGGATGTGTAAAGTGCCTACTATATTCCAGGCACTATGCTAAGCTTTGTGGATATGGAGATAAATGAATTACAGCTTTTGCCTCTGAGAGATGAATGGGTTGAAGAGGGCTCGAAGGAAAGTAGCTCATTTCAACACAGTGTGGTAGTAGCTGTGGGTGCTTTGAGGGGCACAGAGGATGAGCACTCCGCACAGATGGGAAGTGAGAGGCCACAGACGTCCTGCAAGAGGAGGCGATGGTTGAGATGAATCTCAATGCATAAGAGAAGAACGTGGAAGAGATTCTGCAGCATAAGCAAAGTCATTGTCAGCATCAGCAACAAAATCATTAACCTGAATTATTGATTACCTCCTACATACAGTCATGCATGGCTTGACAGTGAAGATATGTTCCAATAAATGTGTCATTAGGTGATTTCACCATTGTGTGAACATCATAGAGATGACTTACACAAAGCTGAATGGTACAGCCTACAGCGCACCTAGGCTGTATGGTATAGCCTGTCACTCTTAGGTTACAAACCTATGCAGCATGTCACTGTACTAAATCCTATAGGTAATTGTAACACAATGGTAAAAATTTGTGTCTCTAACCATATCTAAACATAGAAAAGGCACAGTAAAAACATGGTATAAAAGATAAAAAATGTTACACCTGTATAGGGCACTTTCCATGAGTGGAGGAAGCAGGACTGGAAGTTGCTCTGGGTGAGTCAGTGAGTGAGTGGCAAGTGAATGCAAAGGCCTAAGACATTACTATATACTACTGTGGAGTTTATAAAGACTGTACATGTAGGCTACACTCAACATTTTTAAAAACATTCCTTCTTTGGCCAGGCGTGGTGGCTGATTCCTGTAATCCTTGCACTTTGGGAGGCCCAGGCGGGTGGATCACTTGAGGCCAGGAATTCAAGATCAGCCTGGCCAACATGGTGAAACGCTGTCTCTACTACAAATACAAAACATTAGTTGGGCACAGTGGCGGGCACCTGTAATCCCTGCTACTAGGGAGGTTGAGGTGGGAGAATCGCTTGAACCCAGGAGGCGGAGGCTGCAGTGAGCCAAGATCACACCACTGCACTCCAGCCTGGGCAACAGAGCAAGACTCTGTCTCAAAAATAAAAATAAAAATAAATAAATAAATAAAAACTTTTCTTCTTCACGAATATATTAACCTTAGCTTACTATAACTTTTTTCCTTTTATAAACTTTTTATTTTTTACTTTTTGACTCTTTTGTAATAACACTTAGCTTTAAACACAAATACATTGTACAGCCATACAAAAATATTTTCTTTTTTAGATCCTTATTCTATAAGCTTTTTCCTGTTTTAAAATTTGAGGTCTACACAGTGTCAGGATTATCAGTGCCACTGTTTTCCGCCTCCATATCTTGTCCTACTGTAAGGTATTTAGGGGCAATAGCAGGCATGGAGCTGTCATCTCCTGTGATAACAACGCCTTCTTTGGGAATGCCTACTGAAGCACCTGCCTGAGGTCTTCCTCCATGCTGCCACTCTTCAGAAACATG